TGAGGTTAGGACCCCGCCATGGGTGAGAAATTTGTGTGCAAAATTTTTGTCACATGTGTCCCAAAATTACCTATTATCGATAATGGACGTTTTTGTAATAAGCAACTTGATTTACACTGGAAATCCAGCATATTACCCACTAATAACTAATTTTAAAACAAAGCAACAATTTACTAGCACAAATACCTATTTATAATATTATCTGATGCTTTATTTTGAGGTATTAATTGGGGGAGTGGGATAAATAACCCTAGCCTTAGTAGCATTATTACACTTACAGTAGGAAAATATATATATATATTTATTTATATATATATATATATATATATATATATCCTTTAAGCCTAGTATAGACCTAGTGACATCCCAACTTGTTATTGCAGAATCTATTATAGGTAAATGATATTTATGGCTATGTAGGCCTAATCATATTTTAATAAACATTATGATTCTTAAAATAAAATTAAAAATGTAAATATTCACTTACCTTTGATATTGAAATATCCTGTATTCACTCACAAATCACAATATTCCACAAGAAACTTATTATATAATATAATCCTCAATATTCAAGAAATAACACACTCTGCCACAGTGATCCAAGAATTTCTTAAGATATTATTAAAGAATAATCATAAAAGCTTGTACTTACCTCAAGCAAATGACTAGAACTTATTTTAATTTCTATCAACTGTCAAAGTTGATACATTTTGATTTGTGAAACAAGATTACTAACTTAAAATAAAGAATCTGCTATTTTTTTGGTCATATTCAAATGAGACTAAAAATACATATATAGAAAATGGAAAAATAAAAAGTATAATTGTCAATTTTAGATAAAGGAATCAAATAATCCCTGTATTATTATTTGATACTTATAAATGTTAAACAATTCCATTGAAAATTTGAAATTAATATCTAAAGAATATTATTATTGTTATAAAATTAGGGAAATTTAATATATATGTGTTTTTAAAAAATATATTAATTAAATACAAATAAGTGACGAGTCAGCATATTTGATACATTTTAATAAGGAAAATTATCAAGATTAAAAATATTTTTTTGCTATAAGGGGGACGAAATGTGGAGGAAAATCCCATAGTGAAAAAGTGCTTTTGAGGTCCATACTAAAAAATTCATAACTTTTGAACCACTTGAGCTAGAAAGTTGATCTTGGTGTTTTTGTAAACCACTATATTGGCTCTATACAGCTGTAGTAGTTTTATATTTTTTAAAATGTTTAGAAATTTTCATCAAAGTGCCTAGGCCTTAGTCTTAGTGAGGCTTAGTGAATAAGACTAAGACAGAGTAAGAGACCAAATTTAGTCTTATTATTATAAACCAAAAAATATTAATATTTAATTAGAGAGTAGGCCTCTGTATTTTTAGAAAAAGATAGTATATGCGATTATACTTAAAGGCCTATAGACTATAGTCAAACATGTGGAAGTGGAAGATGCTCAAAACAAAAAAAGCCCTTGCTTTTTTTACCCAAGCCATCTAGGCCTAGGAGTCAAGGTTCTCCTGCAAGGATTGTGAGGAGACTACCATTCCAGGAACTGCCTTTTAATTTTTAAGCCATTTGATAAAGTGTAAATAATAAATAGATACTCCATCATCTGGCGAAGACATGATTGCCATCTATATTAGTATGGACATGGAATGCATCCAAATTTTTGTGAAACAGAGTAGTTTGCCTTTGGCTTCCTCCTACTTTTTCCAATTTGGGTTGGTTAAAAATCATGTTTGTTGTTTCTAAACTCGATTCTATAAGTATAAGGGTAATTAAAGCAGACCCAATGATATAGTTTTCTAAAATAAAATTTATAATTATACTTTCATTCTGAATAATTTCTTTCCTCAAATGATAATAAAGCAGAAATGATCTGAATCAATCCATTTGCTCTTTTCTCTCCAAAATAAAAAAAAAATTCCTTCATGGTTACCCCAGAGCCATAGCGAGACGATGGAGTAGCTATGTGGGCCTACACTTAGACAGTTGGCTAACTAGGCCAATCCTGGAATGACAATCTCGACTGCATTTCTCACAGGAGAACATTGATTCCTAGAAAGATTTAGTCTTCCTTATTGTTCTTTTTGTTGCAAGGGCTTCATTTCACACATTTGCTGCCTTTTTGACTCCTTCATACACTGCTGTTCGCCATCTGGAAAGTTGTTCGGCAATGATCACCCATTTGATGATTTCAGTGTTGGCTTCCCTCATGCTCCTTTTGCAAACGTCCATAAATCTCAGGCGTGGCTGTCCAATAAGTCTTCTGCCAACTCTCCATACAGCAGCATATTTGGAATGCAGCCTTTCTTCATTCTCCTTACATGTCCTAACCAGCGAATGCGCATCTTGCTACACATTTTGGCACGTTCCAAGACATCAGTGTTAGGCTCCTTGTCGGATGCGTAAAATGCGACACAGAAATCGTTGATAGAAGCTGTTGAGTTTCCGCTCGTAACTGGTATATGTGGTCCACACTTCACTGACATATATAAGAATGTCTGTCAGCTATGTCACTAGTGAATACGACTGTCTCTCTACTCAGAGTTGACTCACACAATGTCCATAGTGAGACATACTCAAATTCTTGCTAATTGGTACTTAGTAAGTTGTAGTAGAATCTAATTCCACTGCCCCACTCTTGTCTTTAGTCTTAGAAGACTTAACATGTAAAAATGATAGATTAAAGTTTAAATAAGTTTTAAATTAACTTAAATTACTAATATGACTTACATTTTATAGTAAAGTCAGTTATTTATTTCTCATTTTAGTTGCTACTACACTACAATATTTTGTTGAAATCCCTGTTGAAAGAAGCGAACAGAGAATGTACCAATTCTCGTTCCAAGTTAACAAAAGCTGAGCATGTAAAGGCTGTGGCCAAGGTAAATATAGTATTTTAATTAATAAAAGAATTACTAATTAAGTGAGATGTTTCAGCTATCTTGAATTTGTGTTTATTGTTTTAATAATGGAAAAAAATAATTTTTCTTTCAACTTTTAAAAATTGATCACACCAAGGATCAACATCTCTACTTTCTAAATTATTTTCTTAAAATTCAACAAATGTAGTGGGCTTAATGATCAGAAAGATTGCCCAAGCCCACATAAATTTTTAAAAATTGTGTGCGCAGAGAAAATTGTGGCTGGTCATTTAGAAAAGTGCTTCTCAACCTTTTTTCCCCTCATGGCACACCTAGAGCCTTCCAAAATCTTGGTGGCACAACAAAATTAAAAGATGAGGGAAAAAAAATGGTTTACTGTTGTTTATAAGTAGCCTACCAACATTTTAAATAAATGTGTTTTGTTTTTCTTATGACGCAAAATTAACATAACCAAATAAAAATCTTGAATATTAACAAAACATAAATTTCAAGAATTTTTTGTGTTATACTACTACTATATTATTTTCTTTTTTACACATCTGCTTGTATCCTGTGTGGTAATTTTATCATTTATTTTTTAAAAATATGTATATATACCAGTATTCATTTAACACAAAGAAAAACACTAGCAGCAGGGAGGGTGTTTACTCTGCGGGCCACTTTTTTTCCTTATAAGGGGCAGTATTTTTGGCCAATGGCATAGTCTTTTTTTTTTTTTTTTGTGGAAAGGGGGGCAAAAAAGCTGGTGCTGCCATACTTGTTTTCGGTATTGTGAAAGTAATATCAGACTTATTGTGTGTTGTTTCTTGTTTTATACCAGTATTCATTTAACACAAAGAAAAACACTAGCAGCAGGGAGAGTGTTTACTCTGCGGGCCACTTTTTTTCCTTATAAGGGGCAGTATTTTTGGCCAATGGCATAGTCTTTTTTTTTTTTTTTTGTGGAAAGGGGAGACAAAAAGCTGGGCCCACCCCAGATGGCACTAACTCTGGCTATGCCACTGGTCAAAAGTGTTTAGAATTTTAAAATAACCATCAGTCAACACCTAGTAAAAATATTACTTATACAGTACATGCATGAAAAGTGCAATATCATAGGGCAAAACAACAGATATATTTTACTTGTCGCCTCAGGCACTTTGAGATGGTGACTTGTTAGATGTGAACCACCAAATTTAAACATGCATATGTTTTGTGCAATGTTAATTAGCAAATCATTGTCCCTTTTGTTTCTACAAATTTATATGGTCTTCACAGCTTTCATCTCCTTGGAGGATCTTTGCTGTGGCACACCTAGCATAGTCTCGCAGCACACCGACTGCCGAGCTCTTATTTAGAATACCTGATAAAAGTAGCTTATTTGTCTTGACAACATGCAGAAAAGTATAAAAGAGAGCTTACCCCAATAGTTAATTAAATTACATTGGCAGTCCCGTACAGTGTTGTGATACTGCCACCCATTGTGCTCATTTACCATTTGGTTTGTGCACAGCTCCAAAGTAATTTCTGGAGAAGTGGTTATTGCTTCTTTAAAATATTACATTATTTAGGGTTATTAAAAACACCAGTATTGTGACTCTTAATGGTATCGAACATTCCAATTCCATACCAGTACTACAGCTTACTGGTGTCAATAAACCCAATTGCTTTTTTACTTATCTCATTTATTAATTTTAGTTTATGATTAACATCCTTTTAACAATGTTTTGTTATATAATTTTATTAATCACTTTAAAACTTATAACATCATATACTATTTTCACTATTTTCAGAAGGTCTTATTAAAGTACAGGCGATGATTACAGCTTTTTATTGGAGGATAAGATCATCTGGCATTTGTCATACAAATTTTCCAGGGACACTTGTAATAATTGATGGTGGAGCAACTCTTGGTTTATACAATATTGATTTGAATGCAAAATTTTTAATTATGTAATTTGATAATGTTGTATAATACTGATATTAATATTACTCATTTTCTTAACTGTATATAAATTGTGTTTGTTATATATATATAACATTTGTTATCCTGAATTGTGAAATTCTTTAAATATATCTACCTAATAAACTACCACATCAATTTTCAATAAAATATGTGATTATTTGTGTAGATAAAATTTTAATTTTAAGACATGAAACAGTAATTCTTTACAATCTGTCTTTCTCACATATCATATGCCAATCAGAATAAAAACATTTTTATCTTATCACTGTCTGCATGATATAGGCTACTACAAACATAGTTCACAAATAGTACCCAAAATTATCCATCTAAAAAGATTTGATTAGTTAGTGAAATATTACTCATAAAATTTAAGGTAGTGTGGCTGGTACCACTTTTAAGTTTCTAAAAAATGAAGAAAAAAAACTTAAATTGCAGTACTTGGTCCACTTACCATTGTTCTATAACATAATTTTGCTATTAAGTAATACTTATTCTGTTAAGTTTACATTTTTTACAATTACAATGAGCAACAACAACAAAAAACCCAGATCAGATTACAATTAGTATCTAATGACGCATAACTATTTCAATAAGACAAAAGCTATGACAAGCCTGAGAAATTAATTTGTCTGAGAGCAAAAGATTTGAAATATAAGAGCAAGTCCTTTTGTCCTAACCTCAACTTTTATACTGCATTCAGAAACACAGAAGCCATCACTGCTATCAATCATAGTAATTTCACTCGTGTGTCAATAAACTACAGAAGAGCATTTCTATATACAGTGGGTCCCCGCATAACGAACGCCCCTGATATTATATAATGAACAATCCACGTAAGGAAAGCTGACTTTCACCCAAAAATCTTGCGTAATGAATGGAACTTGCATAACAAACCAAGCCAGTGGTCTCCCTGCTCATAAAAAATAGTATCGCGAGCTTACAAATGGCATCTTATGCTTACCCTGAGTAATTCTGAAGGGGACCAGGAGTCATTGGCATTCTTGTGTGTTTTTTGTGTTGTTGTGAGTGTGTGCTTGTGTGTTTGCATGTGCTTGTTGGTATTTTTATATTGTGCTGCGTTAATTTCTTCACAATTCTTTGGATAAGTGGTTGGACTATTTTACACTGCAGTTTATTTTTTAAAATTTCTCGTGGATTGTCAGGCAGTCCTAACAAAAACTATGATCAAAAGGTACTGGCTCAGGTATATTGATAAGTACCGGTATCAATACTTATTAATTTCAGGCTATAAAGTTATTGTTGTTTCTATGTACTGTTTAAGTTTTCCGTTTTAAACTGTGCATGGCCTAAACTAAGAAGATTTGTTTGCTTGTCATGACAAAATGTGTATTAAGAATCAAGAAATTAACCTGTGTTTCACATCTTTATTCCAATATTTCATTCAAATGTAATATTCGGGCCCTATTGCCATAGTTGAAAAATTTAAAGAAGTGCATCCCGAGACTAACTTATTTTCCTCCTAACATTGTAACATCCACCATCCCTTGTCTTCATCTGACTCCCCAGCATGGTAATCTTTTTTTAAACTTTAAAAATGTTCTTTCATTGGGAACAAATTAAACAATGGGACCCTATGGGAAATCCAGATCCGCACAATATACTCCCTGCATCATAAACACTGTTCCAGAACGGATTAGGTTCGTTATGCAAGGACCCACTGTATTTTCAAATACCTTAATTAAACAAACTTAAGACTAAAATATTTAACTGCTGACATTAGTATAATTAATGTACCGAGAAAGCAAACAATGAAAAATATTTGCAATATTGAATATTTGATATGGCACTTGTAAAACATTACCCTTTCAATATCCATATTCTAACGAAAAACCTAATTCCAGAATTTATGAAAAAGCATCGTTACCGTTGTGTATATAAATTTATTAAAAATTAAAGAGTAAACTTGACAATAATATCATTTGATATTGTTGTTGTATCCAGAGGTTTGTGGAAAAAAACTTAACTATATGCACTTCATTATAAACCCATAGTGGCATCAATGTGGATAAGTCATAAAAACTAATCAAATAAATAGGACATTCGGTTCTAATATAATTATTTGTTTTATTTAAACTATGGTAAAAGTAAAGGGGACAGTAATGGTAATCGGGTCAACTGGGTACTGGGGGTCAAATGGGTAAACTGTTCATTTTAAGCCAAGTATTGCACTACATATTGAACTCAGATTACGTCTGTGTTGATAAATACAGTTTTAAAAATATACCTGACAACATATAGGGAAACATATTTTTTTAAATAACCATGGATCCTACAAGTTGGTACATATATTATACAGTATAAATTGTGTCTGGAAACAGTGGAATTATTTTGATTTGAATTTGAAAAGTAAGTGTTACAGCATATCTACAAAAACAACTAAATTTAAATTAAAAATGGAATATTTGGGAGTGTTAAAAATTTTCTTGCTTTAAAAAGAAAAGAAAATTAACTACAGTTCATCTTTAACAAAGTGTAATGTTCTCCCATAATCTGTAGCAGAGCTTCCTAAGAATTCATTCTCCTTTGTGACAATCTCTTCAATTGACAATTGCCCATCTTTATCAATGTCACACATGTTAATGAGGTGCTCTCCTTCCTCTTTGGCGACATCATCATTATCTGGCAGAGCCCAAGGTCTCAGCTCATCTGGTGTCAACTTCCCATCCTTATCTTTGTCAAGTTCCTCAAAATTTGTCATTTCAGAAAACCTGGTCTCTTCATCAGCATTATCTAAAAATAAAATTACATTAATTTCAATTATTTATGTGAAATAAACCTATTGCAATTAGTTTTAAATAAATCTTTACAAACATTTGATACTTTTGCAATCGCATGACTACTTTTTTATAAATAAAAGCCAAAGATTTAAAAACCTCCGATAAACTCCTGCATTGAAATTGTGCCATCAGAATCATCGTCCATGTCTTTCATAGAACGTTCCATCTCTACTTGGTACATGTGAGGAAAATCATAAGGCTGGAAATAAGCCACATATTCATTTTCATCCAGGAAGCCATCTTTGTTTAAATCAGCTGCAACAAATCTTTTCTTATCATCTGTGACAACCTAATGAATATGATTTTTAAAAAATTATTTAATGCATGCTCATTAAAAATGAAACCAACTCTGCTAAGTGAAAAGGGAAAGTCATGTTTTGATGAAATTTATTTTTGAATAATTAGCACATTAATATGATCTTAAATCTTAATGTAAATATAGTCATGAGCTTTATCCATTTGAATAATTAGCACATTAATATGATCTCAAATCTTAATGTAAATATAGTCATGAGCTTCATCCATTTGAATAATTAGCACATTAATATGATCTTAAATCTTAATGTAAATATAGTCATGAGCTTCATCCATTTGAATAATTAGCACATTAATATGATCTCAAATCTTAATGTAAATATAGTCATGAGCTTTATCCATTTGAATAATTAGCACATTAATATGATCTCAAATCTTAATGTAAATATAGTCATGAGCTTCATCCATTTCAAAGAAAAGCATTTAAAAGATGACAGTGTTTGTCATTTTTTATACCGCTTTTCTATACAATGAGTGGTTGCGAAATATGGCATGGCAAAAATTTAGTTAAATTTTACATTTAGTTACAAATCCAACACGTACAGAAGTGAATAAACATTATTTCTGATTAATATTGCTATTGCACCTGATAAACATCTGTTTCTTCTTCATCCATTTCATGCTTTAACATATCATCTAGGTCCCCTTCAGAGTAACCGTATTGCTTGTGAAGAATTTCTGCAAAAGTGATTTTTTGGTCACCATTTTCATCTTCTTCCTCTAGTTTTTCCATTGCCTCTTCTCTGTCAAGCATTCTAAAACATGTTTTGAAAAAAATATAATGAGAAATACATTTGTAAGTCAAGGTATCCAAAACAGTAGAGCTGATATATAATTATGGAAGTTCTGTCCATCTAGAATGAAAAGAAATTAACTTATAGGCCTACTTATAGACTTACAGACAGTCAATATTTCATTAGGTACATAGAATGTCTGTTTCTAATTCTCATTCTATTCACTTGACAGATGCTGTTATAAAAACTACAGTTTTGCATTTTCTTTGAAAATGTCCGCAATTTTCTTTATTGTGATCACACTTCTTACTTAAACAAATAAGGATTTCCCTTAATTCAGAATTTAGAACTAATAGTACAGATGCCTACCAACAGTCCACTTGGTAATAATATAGGTAGATTTAGTACCCTTATTAGCACACATTACCTACCGAAAAGATTGAAGTATCCATTGTTTTAGTTCTTCAGGTTCAATGATATCGTTATTGTTGGTATCATGAGATTTAGCCAAATTCCTCAACCGTTTTATCTGCACGTCTTTGGGAAGTTCAGCAAGGTCATCAAGTTTATGTGAGCCTAGTGATTTAAAAAGTGCTACATAAATTATTCATAATTCGACTAGCAGATTTTATTATTTCCAAGATTTCTGTGAGGGAATGATAGTTTACTTTAACTTTTAGACAAGCTGATGATAAAATAATTTTTTTTAAACAGGATGAAATTGAATCTATAAACAGAATTTTTTTAAAAACTTACCTAACAAAGCCTCTTGATCAAATACAGAGCTGTGAATACCATCCTTAAAATGTGATTCTGCCAATTTGTGTGCACCATGATCTTGGATTTCACGGGTGGCCTCCAGCAAAGCTACATGCACTAGTAAGAAGGCTGCTACCAACATCTTTTTTCTTTTGAATGGTACCGGTAATCAAATATTCTATTAAAAAGAACATGAATATGGAAAACTTCTAAACATTTTTAAAAAATCAATGCATCTTCTCTAAAGTATGGCTACTAAAGCTTTTACCTGTGTATGGGATATGCATAATGTATAACATTTAACCATGAACTATGGGTAAATATGGCTCTTGGAAAGTGAAAAAAAAAATTTGCTTATGAAGCTTATAGCATGGCAAGAACAAAGAAAGTAAATGATTTAGCCATTAAAATGGGCATCATAAAAAGTATATTTTAATAAGTGATCCAGAATAAGATCTTACAGATGGTTTGCCTTCTTAGTTTAGCATTTCTTGTACCTGTACAGTTTTTTTTTTTACTGTTGTTACTTTGGAATAGATGACTGATAACAAGGGATTTGGAGAGGAGCAGGGTCTTTTTGCCCAGGGCTGGAAAAATGTCTTAATGTTCCAAGCTCCACTCTTCTACCAGCTATGTTGCTGGTACATGCATTTGTAAAGCCTAGTTAATAACATGGTTAAGTGACAATAATAAACATATTTCTTTAATCAATATACCACCCCTTCATTGGAAATGGAAGCAGAGCTGACACAAATTTGTCCAGAGTGGAGCTCTGCCAAAAAATGTCTGCTCCAAAGCCCTGTTTGTAATGGTGTAATGTCTAGTAGTGATGGACATCCCCATACATCAAAATAACAAGTTAAAGAATTATGGGGAGCATGTATGTACATATGTGTGTTTAAATAGAACAGTACGATTATCATCTACACTAGTCTACAGTTTATCACGTTCAAATACTTTATGTATGAATGATACATCACAGTGGCCTAAAACTGATGCAAAACAAAAATCCCATGCGTACAACTTAATACAAGAAAATATCAAACAAAATGTTGATTAGACACTTAAACACAAAGTTAAGAATATGATTATGGATTTTTTTATGGCGGAAGCCATGACGTATGCCTGCTGCCAACTCTTAAAAGTGTGTCCTCTAAAAAAGACAATTCACAAATAGATTTATATAATGTTAGGCCTATACAGAGCAGCCATGGGTGGTCAACTCCTTTGCACTCCTAAGTGGGCCTAAGTATGCCATTGTGTGGATGGAGGCAAAATTTCAACTGTCCACTAGGGCCTTCTTAGGTCTTAATTTCAATCCAGCACTAGATTTAAACTATTTAAAAATACCCTGGCTATGAGTAATATAAATATGACAAAAGGCCCATAATTATATTTATATATATTATATTAATAATGGGCCTACTACTGAAACACACAAAAACCACTGCTGTCATCTACTGCTTCCTTGTCTACTTCCAGTCGTCTTGACAAAGACTTGCTATTGCATCAAATAGGCAAAAACAAAAGAGTGAGGCTGATGAATTGAGCAACCCTTAATTTGAAATTAAATTACAGCTGCAATCAAGTCAAATATTGCCTTGATCATCTTCACAGGTTAAGGATGTAAAGTATAGGAGAATAACTGAATACAAAAGCAACATAAGGGGCCATCTATAAATGATGTCACGCAAAATTTGCTGATTTTTTACCCCCCTCGCCCCATTGTCACAAAAAGTTAAACCTCCCCCCCCCATAAAATATAATGTCACAAATCTCTGCAACCCCCACCTCCCCCCCTAAAAATTTCCTGTGTCCACTACTGTCCTTTACAAACCCTTATGATATTCACTTCTCATGGATATCAAATTGCTGCACCTGTTTCAGGAACATTTCACTAGAACAGTGGTTCTTAACCAGAGGTAAGAGTACATCCCCAGCCCAGAGGTGCGGAAGACCATAAAATTGTATTTGCTGTCATTGCTAGTTGCTACTGCTTTAAAAAAAAAAAAAAGTTTTATGAAGTTAATTAAAGAAATAAAACTATGATAATTAAATTAAAATTATTTTCACATTTTAATTTGTATTTCAATATAATTTATACTTTTTTTGGAGGGTGGGGGGAGTTCTTTAAAACGGAGTGGGCCTGCCTGAAGCACTGCCAAAAGGTTAAGAATCCCTGCCCTAGAGTATAAGATCCCTAACCCCCCCCCCCCCCCCCCCCCCACTTTTTTTTTTTTTCATACCATCCCACTTCATGTGGTAGTCCTAATTCTATTACTCCCGTCTCCACATTTGGGCATAAATTCTCTCCACTGTCATTGTAGTTACACCCATTTGCTTCTCCTTGGTGGCGGCCTGCAACTTTATCAGGGGCCATTTTTCGGACCTCGCATACCTGTATCTCTCAGTGATCATAGATTAAAAATAAAATTATTATTATTGTTGTATCTAAGAATAATGTTAAAAATTTCTGTAATTTAATATTATTAAGTCCAATACTTTACCAAAATATTCAGCATTCATGAGACATCACACTGCCTGCTTAAGACCACCCCCCCCCCCCTTTTAGATGAATGACATCAATTATGGATGGCCCCCTAAGAATAGGGACTGGAGATTAAAATTAAGTGGCCTAAAAATATTGAAAATACAATTTACCTAGAATTTTCAGATTTAGAAGAATAATTTAATCTTCAACAGTTCAACACTACCACAGTTGGGATACACTACTACACATTTATGAATTAGACAAGGCCAAGGCGTCACACTCTGTTAGTATAGTCTAACTATTGAGTCTAAACTGTTCAAATGAGTTCATCTGAATTGTGATTTTGTAGGGTCCCTACTAAAATGACTACTACTTGAGTTTACAGATTCACTCAGACTAGACTAGTCAGACTCAATAGTCAATATAATATGCTGAACTCGACGCCCGTGTTGCGCCTATTTCGTTACCGGTACGTGGCATACCGTATTTCACCAATATGAGAAACTAAAACGTTCTGTATTTAATTAGCATCTGATAAGAGAATGAAACGATTTAAACCCCCAGGGCACCAAGCTATTTTAAGCTTATATGCAAATGACACTATAATAGCTCGTTAACGTTTTGCTTTGAAAAGAGAAATAACATTCTCAACCCGGAATTTAATGATTTACAAACCTTTTACTCAAAAGAGTTATTCATGGACCTCCTGATTCCCTCCCTCTTCAATACAAAATTAAAAACTAATTATATTACTACAACGCTATACATTAATCAATTTAGCACAATTACAATAAGTTCATAAATGATACTATTTAAGGACCTTTTACCAAATTAATGCTAACCCAAAAAGAAAAGGGAAATATTAAACTAATTGAACTAATACAAATTAACAACATTTGTGCTTTGGGTGCGTCCATTTAATTACGTCATCAAATTAAGGGGGGGGGGGTTGTTGTTGATTAGTTGACGTCAACAATCATGTTTTCTCTATTAAAATTTAATCTTAAAAATTGACTGGTTATTACATTATTTTTGAAAATTTATACGTGTAAATGAGTGTAGGCCTAAATAGTCATATAATTTTTTGGCTTTTAACAATATAAGATTTATTTAATGTGTGTCTGTCTGTGCACTGCAGATGGCTGGTCAGAATGTTAGCACACTTTGTTAGTGCAAAAGAAGTCAAAAGTTGGCCTCTCTTCAACTAGATTTTGTTGCAGACATGGAACAAGGACAAGGTTCAATTTTCATGTTCAATCAAGATAAATGAGTAGGAATACGATATTTTGAGAATTAGGTGAATGTAAAGTGAGTAACAATAATAACATCGCTGCTTGAACGGATTTGCAAAATCTGTAACATCTCTTTTGCATCACAAAGGTGCTGGGTGGCCGCGTGGTCTAAACTGACACACTTCAAATGGTGGTCTGGAGTTCAATCCCCGGGTAGATGGGACTCATTAGCATTGGAAGGCAACTCATTTAAAAGAGAAGGCTAACTGGCTAACTCTGAATTCCAACCAAACCCTCAAATATGAAAAAAAATAAATATTTAAAAGTCTTGTTGAAAGTATGTTCAACAGCACCAACAATCAGAGGCGTAGCGTGGTGGGGGCAGGGGGGGACATATGTCCCCGGGCGCCAGCTATTTAGGGGCGCCAAAATGTGCTTTGATAACATTTTATTGATGAAAATAGAAAAGGGGGCGTTAAAAATGGATCTTGTCCCCGGGCGCGAATCTTGTCCTCGGGCGCCAAACGCCCTCGCTACGCCACTGCCGACAATGCCCTCTTGAGCTTAAGAAATTAGTACCTGCTCCTCAACAACAACAACAACAACATAAAAAAGGACCAATGCTAGTAGCTGCAAGTAGATGGGGTAGATGGAGAGGTTATGGCAATGTTTGCTCATACCGAATATTGCTTCTATTTTAAGTTAAAAATATAAATTCTATGCTTAATGGTTAGATGAGGATCAATGCCGCGAGATGAAAAAGATAAATCAACTACTATAGACTATGCTCACCAGGGGCGTCATTTCATGTTTTTTTCAGGGGGGGGGGAGTGAAAAACCAAAACTTGGTCGGCCTGTTAAGTTGTTTATTACTGGAGGCGCGACAGTACATAGCAATTTAAATAAAACATGCAAATTAGGGGGTGGGGGCAAATGCCCCCCTGCCCTACCCAAATGATATCCCTGATGCCCATTGTTACGATAGAGCAAACCTGGCTACTCCTTGGGAAGATGATAGCAGCTAGAAACTATCCTGTAATTGTAGGTTTACTGACAATAATCATAGTTATACTGGTACCAAAAACAATGAAATTTAGTCTTTAACAACCTTTCAATTTATTCTGCATTATAAAATTTAGGTGTAAAAACTTTTTAACTTGTTGACCAACAAGGTAAAGATGTAGATCTAATGAAATTTTTTTCCTACAATTATGTATCATTAAAATAGATCAGCAAAGTGAAATGTATTTATAAAATTATTTATAATACATTTTTTGTATGTGTGTGTGGGTGGGGGGGGGGTAGAAAATGTTGACATAATTAAATAGGGGAGGTCATTGAAAGTTTTACAGTTGTTGATAAGGGGGAGAGGGGGGTTAAAATTGCTTAAAAACTGTTGACGTAATTAATGGACGACCCCTTTATTAAATTTAACGTACTTTTCAACCCATCCATGTCATTGGCATTGGAGTTGTTAAATTATTTATAGGCTTACATAATAAATAATTTCTAGGTAAATCCGTGCAATTAATGAACTCGCTGATATTTTGTTTAAGTCAGGTTACAAAAGATCATTGCTGCTAACCAGGAAGTTACGCCCCTGATTTTGAACTAATCAACGTATTTATTTACACTACGATCTATACAGTCATGAATCGTTATTTATTCTTTTTTTACCTTTTGTTTTTCTTGGCCAAATACATTGGAGTATCAACGAAAAGTTTGGTGAATAAAAAATCCATGAAAACTTTACAGCAATATTTACTTCTGCTGGGCTACTTCATGCCAAATATATTTAAACAAAAATTAAAAATGAAAAATCACCAGTTTATTAATATTAATGCACAGAAAAATAGACACAATTTTTGACAGTTCTTCTTAGTCTGGGATTAGATAAAACACCACTTCAATATTAACTAGCCATTTTATTATTCATTGTTAAAGAATATGCTTGTCTAAAAAATGGTTTCTTAACATTTTGGAGTGCTTTCTTACCGACCTTTTGAAGATTTTACTGTCGAGGAAGAAACTTATCTTTCGGAAATGTTGGGGTTCCAGCTTCAAATTTCTATTCGTAATCATCTTCAAATGACCATTATATTACCGAGAAATACGTCAAATGGTTGGTGCCACCCCAATCAGCCAGTATATGGCCCAACAACAAATTAATTTGTTAGGCAACCTGATCAGAATGCCTTCCCATGAATCTGCATTGCCAGCTTACAATAGCAGACACTCCGGGTTTCAGGGCCAGAGGTAGACCACATCGTCGGTGCACCGACTGTGTTAAGGACGCCCTAAAAATACAAAAAAACAAGAACCTCCAGCAGGTCTCACGCCTTGCGGCAATACGCCAACAATATATTCCCTGTAAAGCTGACAGAAGAATTTGAATTGTAATTAATATGTTTTTCAATAAAATACTATAGCACTAGGTATAGTTCTGAGGAAATCATTGGTAACAATCGGTTAAAAATATCGCAAACACTTACGACGGACTATTATACAAATTATATTTAAACTTATATGGAACATACGATATTCCTGTAATACAAAACACAAACACAATATGTAGACTAAGTCAATAACTTCAATCCAACTACTTCTCTTGTGCTCACAAGTCGCTATATGCCAGGCTGTTACCGACAGACAGCAGCGTCAGTATGCAGGTGCGCGGGGGGGGGGGGGGGGGGGGGGGGGGGGGGGGGGTGCCACCCAATGGAAGATTGCAGGTTTGACAGAACTCTCTGGGGTCGGTTTCATAACAGGTCGTCGTTAAATACAAGAAGCATGGTGACACCAGAAAAGGGTGCAGTTAAAACAGGGTGCCACCACATCATCTGGTGCGCTCCTAGCAAGAGATTTTTACGCCCAGGGGCGCTCATAATTTGGTGACTTTTCTACAGAAAAACACTAACTATGTAATAGTATGCAGGTTGCCACTGAAAAAGCTAGCACACGAACAAATTGCCTCCTGAAAAGGGTGACTTTATAGCAGGGTGCCTTCGTATATTTGTTCAAACTTTCTGTCAATTCCGTTTTCTTGTTTTGTTGTTAAGTTCAATGTCCAATATGATAGACTTGACTCACATGTTGGGTTTGTTCATTTGCAATTTTGAGTGAATGATGAGACGTTTGTACATATGCGTGTAGTGGAAGTAACTGTTAGTGAAACTTATATCTTTAAAATACTACAACCGGTACTTAGAATAAAATAATACTTATATCTATCTGCAGCAATAATATAATACTTACATCTATCTGCAGCAATAATATAATACTTACATCTATCTGCAGCAATAATATAATACTTATATCTATCTGCAGCAATAAAATAATACTTATATCTATCTGCAGCAATAAAATAATACTTATATCTATCTACAGCAATAAAATAATACTTATATCTATCTGCAGCAATAAAATAATACTTATATCTATCTGCAGCAATAAAATAATACTTATATCTATCTGCAGCAATAATATAATACTTATATCTATCTGCAGCAATAAAATAATACTTATATCTATCTGCAGCAATAAAATAATACTTATATCTATCTGCAGCAATAATATAATACTTATATCTATATGCAGCAATAAAATAATACTTATATCTATCTGCAGCAATAAAATAATACTTATATCTATCTGCAGCAATAATATAATACTTATATCTATCTGCAGCAATAAAATAATACTTATATCTATCTGCAGCAATAAAATAATACTTATATCTATCTGCAGCAATAAAATAATACTTATATCTATCTGCAGCAATAAAATAATACTTATATCTATCTGCAGCAATAA